CTTTCGGAACTTTGATATTTGCTGTTATTATTCGGCTTTATTTCGCCGCATTACGGTTAGCTACATTTTTTACATGAGTTCTTAGGTTATGCGTTACATTTTGGACATGTAGAGTTTAAAGATATCTAGGTAAAGCTACATCGTAAGTGACACTAGTTAATTGATTTGCAATGCAGACTGATTGTTTTTAAGCGACCAAGAGATTCAAAGCATTAAAAAAAAACGGTAAAAATGAAATGAAATAAAAATTGTTACTGGCGCCCAACGTGTAGCAGTTTGGAATTCTTTTTATCTTGTTAACAGTTGAATACAGCGAAAATACTGCGAACAAATAAGCTGTATGTTATTGAACTATTTTATTTTTATTTTAAAAACAAATGAGCTAAACTGTGAGTGTGCGAGTATCACAATAATCGTGTACGTTTAACACGCTTAAAGTTATTTCGTTAGTAGTACGTTTGCTTTCGCACGTTCGTTCCACCGTATATTTGTCAAAGCTCGTCATTGCCTGCATTATATTTTACGTTTGTTTACTTCGCGCCATATTTGTCAGCACTCTTCCGCGTCATTAAGCGTCATCATACACACACGTTCATCGGGACAGACTATCAATCTCCTACGTCAACGCCATCTCTCCAATCTGATTTAATTCGCCGGTGTTGCCGAGTTTTTGCCTAATTTCCTCCCCTTCTGCCCCCACTGCCCCCCCTCCCCCACCATTATCATGTGTATCACTCGTGGGGCCTAGCTTAACGCGTTGTCAGGGACGTGAGTATTGTTTTCGGTAAAAACAAAATGGCAGATTAAAATTGCGGACGCGTTTTCGTGTCGCCATCATTTAAATAATGATTGTTCTGTCTGTGGCTGAGCGTTAAGTGAAATTATTTTTATGGCTGCATTGCCATAAACATTTAACATGGGTTTTATTTTTTTGATTAAAACGTTCCGGTGCTTTGTTGCAAGTATAGAGAACTTTCAAAATATTAAACTCTATGTTTGTAATAGAAATAAATCAATTTTGTGGTAAAAAGTACCTAATAAAAAATAGGGAGCTGATTTCGTGCATCTTGCATCTTTCCGCAACCATAGTTATTATTTAATTTATTGGTTGTAAATCATAACACGCGTGGTAAATTCACCAAAAGTTCAGTTAAAAGTAACATTTCAGTTAACATTTTTCCAGTGTCAGAACACAATTTATTATTATTTTCGTAATCATGGCCGAATTGGCGTCGGTCACGCCATTTCACGCGCCCATTTTGCTTGTCATTGTATTATTTTAACCTTCTGTTTGAGGTATTGATTCTTTTGATGTCGTGGTTTAGTGTGGCGATGAATTTGCGATTGAGACCAAATAATGCGAATGGGACCGAATACGAATGGGGCCGTTTTTATTTAATTTGTGACGAAACCCGCTTCGGTCAGCACGGCTGTGTTGGAAAGGGCTTAGCGGAGCAAGATTTTTTTTACGTACAAAACAAGATAGAAACAAGAGAGGGATGTGTGCCAAGAATGTGTCCGAGGATGACATTCCACCAGCTCGCACTAAGCGTTTCGATGACTCTTTTATAATGCGAACAGCTAGGGACTGGAATTCGCTGCCTGCTGCTGTCTTTTCCGAAGACTATTATCCGGGCCATTTCAAGGCGAGAGTAAATGGGCACTTACAGGGCAGATATATACCATCCTAGACTGCATCCCACTTAACACCAGGTTTGTGGTCAAATACCTGCCTTGTTATGCATTAAAAAAATGTGTGCGAGAGATGTGGGCGACGGATATTGTGTGCTATGGATCGAGATGAGAGAGGAACTGCTAGCAGTCAGTTTGGGTTTCATTAGATGCCAAGTTGTAGATCCTTGTACAGGAGTTGCAGCGATGGGAAAGTGTGGTCACAGGATAAGTCCCAACAGTCAGTTGAGTGACTCATCTGCGCACCGTTACAAAGTTTCGCTACACACCTTCGCATCACTCTCTATTATTAAACGGCTCCAGTGGAAACGCAGCTTAACAAATAGTTTAATTACCTACTTATGGTATTTAAATATATGATGTATTTATTAACTAATCTATTCATCAACTAATCTAGTCATTAATTAATTTATTTATTAAGTAATAACTATTTCTGATGACTTATTACAAGTATAAAAGGTAGTGTTAGTGCTGTTTCGAATCATTCAGTCTTGTGTTTGTGAATCGACAGCAATCATGAAGGTGTTGGTATTATTGGTGAGTTGATATTTTCTTCTTAATTTGTTACAAACGATAGATTACATTGAAAAACTACTTTGCAAAGTCCTTTGTTGACCGCAAAATACTGAGTATCTAACATTGTCTACGCTTTAGTTTAAAAACTCATTGGTCATTTCTCAAAGACATCTACAATAGAATCCCATAGTTTCTATCTTCAAACAGGATTTTTCTATAACATTTATTTTTCTCTCTAGATCGTCGTAGCTGTGGTCTGCGTGGCCATCGAAGCGAGGCCCAGGGCCCAGGGCCCGTACAATGATCGGGAACCAGGATCGATGTCAGAAATGTACTTGGACATAAAAGATATGCTCAAACCGGAAAATCTTGAGCAGCACCTGTTATCGGACCAAAGTACTGATATCTTAAAATAAATAAATGATGTGAAATAAACTGTTTGTTTTTACTCTGATTTTATTAAATACACTCAACATCAAATAAACCGCACCTTCCGCGACGCGAACTTTAAAGATTTTCTTCTGACACAATCATGGTACCCCAACAATATTGGTGTTATTTGAACTTAAAAGCAACATTCAGTTAACATTTTTCCAGTTAATTTGGACCGTTTTTTAATGTGTGACGAAACCCGCTTCGGTCAGCACGGCTCTGTTGGAAAGGGCTTAGCGGAGCAAGATTTTTTTACGTACAAAACAAGATAGAAACTAGAGAGGGATGTGTGCCAAGAATGTGTCCGAGGATGACATTCCACCAGCTCGCACTAAGCGTTTCGATGACTCTTTTATAATGCGAACAGCTAGGGACTGGAATTCGCTGCCTGCTGCTGTCTTTTCCGAAGACTGTTATCCGGGCCATTTCAAGGCGAGAGTAAATGGGCACTTACAGGGCAGATATATACCATCCTAGACTGCACCCCACTTAACACCAGGTTTGTGGTCAAATACCTGCCTTGTTATGCATTAAAAAAATGTGTGCGAGAGATGTGGGCGACGGATGTGTGCTATGGATTGAGATGAGCAAGGAACTGCTTACTAGCAGTTCCTCGCAGGATATACAACTTGGCACACAAACTGACTACTGTCAGTTTGTGTTTAATTAGATGCCAAGTTGTAGATCCTTGCTATACAGGAGTTGCAGGCCAGCGGTGGGGAAGTGTGGTAGGAGGATAAGTCCCAACAGTCACTTGAGTGACTCATCTGCGCACCGTTACAAAGTTTCGCTACACACCTTCGCATCACTCTCTATTGTTAAACGGCTCCAATGGAAACGCAGCTTAACAAATAGTCTAATGATTTAGTAATCTATTTCTTATGATTTATTAAATAATCTATTTCTAATGACTTATTACAAGTATAAAAGGTAGTGTTAGTGCTGTTTCGAATCATTCAGTCTTGTGTTTGTGAAGCGACAGCAATCATGAAGGTGTTGGCATTATTGGTGAGTTGATATTTTCTTCTTAATTTGTTACAAACGATAGATTACATTGAAAAACTACTTTGCAAAGTCCTTTGTTGACCGCAAAATACTGAGTGTCTAACATTGTCTACGCTTTAGTTTCAAAACTCATTGGTCATTTCTCAAAGACATCTACAATAGAATCCCATAGCAGTTTCTATCTTCAAACAGGATTTTTCTATAACATTTATTTTTCTCCCTAGATCCTCGTAGCTGTGGTCTGCGTGGCCATCGAAGCGAGGCCCAGGGCCCAGGGCCCGTACAATGATCGGGAACCAGGATCGATGTCGAACATGTACTTGGAAATAAAAGATATGCTCAATCCGGATAGTTTTGACCAGCACCCGTTCGACCCAAATGCTGATACGGACCTTTCACGCTTATAACTGTTCCAAACCATAAAATTATTTTTTCTTTAGTTATGTCTATTTATTTTAGTCTAATTTAACATAAAAGTAGTACAGAAAATATAAGTGCTATGTATTTCAGTGTTTTTCAGTCGGGGACACATATGTCCCTATATGCGTTAAGGTATACATTGCCTCATATATTGAAAATAAAATACTTCGACGCTTTTATTGCAAAATAATTACAAATCACACTAAAAATACAAATCAAATTTAATCAATAAGCTTATTTTTAATATTTATAATAAGACATTTAAAGTAGATAACATTATATCTTACGTATTTTCATGTTTGATCCTCATCTCATCATAGACCTACATAACGAGACTGTTTTTTTCAAGAACAACTTTGAGTGTAGAGTCTCCAGCCTTCAGAGGAGTGCGTGTAACATTGATATTTGACATATTTTTTTCGTCTTGTTCATGTTTATTTTGAATCCCATTTATTGAGAGCCTCTACTGAGGCCATAGAGCATTGATTCTAGGTCTTTCAACGTCTCAGCCGTGCCGTGACTACAATCGTTGAATCTTACTTGGGGGGGATAGCATCCAAGAGGCTTCGCGACATCTTCTTATCCAAAATACCGTAGTTTCTCAAGACCTTTGACTGAAATTCTTTGACCAATGTGTGTTGGCTTGGCGGCGATGACGCACGGAACGGAGACGTAATCCTTCACTATGGGCCATATATGAGAAGGCTCAAAGTCACCCAAAGGGTGATGAGGAAGTCCGCAGGAGACTCAAAGTATAAGACATAGCCAGCATAATTGCCAAACTTTCGCGGCAGTGGATAGGGTCCATAGCTCGCAGAAGTGATGGCCGTTTGGGGAGGAAATTTATCGAGTGGCGCCCATGGATAGGAAGACGCAGTGTGGCAGGCCTCATGTTCCTGTGCTGCTCATAAATAAATTCATGTAATACGAGCAGCTCAGGAACGATCTTTGTGGAAATCCTCAGGGAGGCCTCTGTCCAACAGTAGCCACCCTTTTATCAAGGAGGAAACCATCCTCGCTGTCACTATGCACAGTGTTTTANCCAATTGTGCGAGAAGTAAAGCACTATTCAGTTCAAGTTGTGGGATTGTGTGGGATTTTCTTAAGGGCGAGACCCTGGATTTTGCACATAGTAGTTGCATTTTCACAGTGCCATCCTTCCCAATTGTTCTAAGGTACAAACAGCAACCAAAACCTTTAAGAGAGGCATCTGCATATCCCACAACTTCAACTGAAGACACTTGAGTCATAGTAACATATCGAGGAACTTCAATAAATTTCATAAGTTTTAGTTTTTCTAAAAGATTTTTAAACTCAAATATTTGATTAGATGTTAAGGTGGAGTCCCAACCTATTTTTAATGAATATAGCATTTGCATATATATTTTAAAACTCATTATAATGGGAGCAATAAGCCCTAGTGGATCGAACATTTGTCCAATGAAGCTTAAAATATTTCTTTTTGTGTATAAGTTCGCCTCATCAAAGGGTGGGCATGTGAAAGTAAATTTATCTGAAGCAATATCATATTTTAAGCCTAATGTTTTGATGACATTATCTTTATTTAAGTTTATTTGATCAAAATATTTCTGAGTTGACGGTATATCACTTAGTACCTCATCAGAATTGGAGCACCATTTGTGCAAAGTGAATCCTCTATCTGTGTAATGACAGTATAAAGTTCTTCATATGTAAGTGGTATATCACCTACAATTCTTTTAAAATGATACTTTAAACTTTTCACTCCCGCCTCCCACAGGCCACCAAACTCTGGAGAATAACTTGGAATGTATTTAAATTGTATGTAATTTGTTAAACAAAATTTAAAAACAGAGTCTCTGTGACTGGGAGAGGCTTGCAAGTTATACAACTCTCTAAGGTGATTGTCTGCACCTTTAAATGTTTTAGCGTTATCGCAGTAAATGTAATTAGGCAGGCCGCGTCTGGATATGAACCGTTTTAGACATGCTAAAAATGCATCCGTAGTGAGACTACTCACTAATTCTACATGGACAGCCTTTGTAGAGAAACAGACATAAACAGCTATGTATGCTTTAGTCACAATAGGTTTCCTAATTCTCGCAACTTTTAGATTAAATGGACCACAGAAATCTACACCCACTACTTGGAAAGGCCTGTTAGCAGTCACTCTATCTGAAGGTAGAGACCCCATCAGCTGTTTAGCTCCTTCAGCTTTAATACGGAAACACTTGATGCAAGAGTGTAAGACTTTTTTCACTTCCCTTAAACCACTAATTATCCAGTATTTCTGTGACAAGGATGACAATACTAGCTTTGCACCAGCATGTAAAAGCCGCTTGTGCTCCTGTAAAATTAGCAATTTAACCAAATTGGATGACTTTGGTAAGATGATGGGGTGCATCTTTTCATAAGGTATGTTTGGTGCATTGCATAACCTTCCTCCTACCCTAAGAATGCCTTCATTATCGATAAATGGATGTAAACTACATAACGACTTGCATTGTTTATTATTCATAAGTAAAGATATTTCTGCTGAGAAAGAGGTTGACTGAATGTATCGAATAATTACTTTCAGAGCTTCAGAGTATTCTTGAGGAGACAGGGGTCCAATCTTTTTATCACTGCGGTTTCTGCAATTATGTTGGAAGCGAATAATATATGCAATTTGTGTCTGTAACTTATTGAAGTCAGAGTATCTAAAATATATATTATTATCCTCATTTATTGTACAAAAATTATTACAACTTGGGACCGAGTTTAGACTGTTCTCCTTTGGCTCTGTTTGAAAAGTTGGATTAGTAGCTTGAAAAGCTTCATGATGATACAGAGGTAGGCTTGATAAGTTTTGTGGGCCATGCCACCAAAGAGAGCAATTTTGCAATTTATCAGGGTTAACACCACGCGATAATAGATCAGCGGGGTTTTCTGAAGTTTTAACATACGACCACATGCAATCAGTGGTAAGTTTTTGAATTTGTTTTACCCTATTAGAAACATAGGAATTTCCTTTGTGAGAGTTACCGTATATCCAGTACAAAACTATCTGAGAATCAGCATATAAGAATACTTTAAGATTAGGATATAGACCTATTAAAGTTTTTCTTACAGTGCTCGCCAATTGTGCGAGAAGTAAAGCACTATTCAGTTCAAGTTGTGGGATTGTGTGGGATTTTCTTAAGGGCGAGACCCTGGATTTTGCACATAGTAGTTGCATTTTCACAGTGCCATCCTTCCCAATTGTTCTAAGGTACAAACAGCAACCAAAACCTTTAAGAGAGGCATCTGCATATCCCACAACTTCAACTGAAGACACTTGAGTCATAGTAACATATCGAGGAACTTCAATAAATTTCATAAGTTTTAGTTTTTCTAAAAGATTTTTAAACTCAAATATTTGATTAGATGTTAAGGTGGAGTCCCAACCTATTTTTAATGAATATAGCATTTGCATATATATTTTAAAACTCATTATAATGGGAGCAATAAGCCCTAGTGGATCGAACATTTGTCCAATGAAGCTTAAAATATTTCTTTTTGTGTATAAGTTCGCCTCATCAAAGGGTGGGCATGTGAAAGTAAATTTATCTGAAGCAATATCATATTTTAAGCCTAATGTTTTGATGACATTATCTTTATTTAAGTTTATTTGATCAAAATATTTCTGAGTTGACGGTATATCACTTAGTACCTCATCAGAATTGGAGCACCATTTGTGCAAAGTGAATCCTCCTTTTTTGAATAATTCAATTAACTGACTTTTGAGCTCATTTAACAAATCTATATTGTCTGCTCCACAGAGCACATCGTCCACATATGTATTTGATTTAATTGCTTCTGCAGCTAAGGGATACTCGTCTTGAAACTTAGTTGCTAATTCCAAGAGGCAACGTGCACTTAAAAAAGTTGAGCATTTTAACCCATAGGTCACAGTTTGGAGTTGTAAGCAAAGTATAGGCATTGATGAATTGTCTCTCCATAAAATATTTTGGAGCTGCCTGTGCTTTTCATTGATGAAGATTTGTCTGAACATCATTTTAATGTCACTAATTAGAACATAAAAATAAGTTCTAAATAAAAGAAGAATGTTGAACAAATCATTTTGTATGACAGGTCCATTTAAAAGGACGTCATTTAAAGAAATACCCAATTTGGATTTCATGCTACCATTAAAAACAACACGAAGTTTGGTCGTTAGGCTGTCTTCATTGAGCACAGCATGGTGTGACAGAAAGTAGACAGGTGAAGTGTAAACATCATAGCTGTTTATGTCTATTATTTTGGCGTGTCCCAATTGTAAATATTCACTTATAAAATTTTTATATTTTTTGTAGTACTCATGATCATGTTTAAATTTATTTTCTAATGCGAGAAACCGCTGAAGAGCTGCTGAGAAACTATCACCTATGTCTAATTCTTCAATGGGTTTAACCAATGGTATGTCAACAGAAAAGCTATTATTTTTTAAAGACACAGAGTTCACAAATGATTGTTCAGCCTTAGTAAATTCAGGAATAACCTTGGGTTGCTCTTCAGGCATTTTCTCAGCTAACCAAAACTGATTCATAATTTTATCTAACTTATTTTCGTTCTCACACATCACAAAATTTGAAGAAACTATGTTATTATTACTGTTATCACCAGTTTCATTACAACTCATTGTTCCAGCTACAATGTAACCAAAAAGTGTGTTTTGTAGGATTGGACCACTATTCAATCTAATGCACCCATCTAATAGACTTTTGAAATACAAATCTGCACCAAGCAAAAGTGATATCTCTGAAGGAATGTTAAAGTTCACATCAGAAAGTTTAATATTTTGTGGGATATTTAAACCAGAAATATTAATGTATTTTTGTGGCAGCTGTGATGTAATATTTTCTACAACATGACAATTTACATTGAATTTTAGATCATGAGTACATGAATAAATTGAAATGTCAACAGACTTGTTTAAATGAGATTGTTTATTGCCTATCCCAATTATTGTGGTTTGCTTGTCTGTATGAACATTCAGTTTTAACTTGTCAACCAAACTTTGCTTTATAAAGGAACCTTGGCTACCACTGTCTAAAAGGGCTCTTACATAGACTTCACGGCCATACCTGTCAATTACCTTTACTTGTACTGTAGGAAGAAGGACCTCAGCACGGCTACACTGATTAGAACACATAATTACTTCCTTTTTTGAATTTTTGTCTTCATGCAAAAGTGAGTTATGACCTTGTTTACATGTTTTGCATTTGAAATTAAATTTGCATTTATTAGTGTGAGAATTTAAACAGATCTTACATCGGTTTGTATCTTGTATGAACTTTATGCGGCCTTCCACAGGTGCCAACTTAAAATTAGGACACATAAATATAGCATGATTTTGTTTTTCACAAAACGCACATAAACCTTTTTCATTACCGTTAGAAACAAAATTGCTTGCCTTAAAGTTTGTACATGGTTTTGAATAATGTTTTTGGGCACTATCATGGTAATTACTTTTAGTTGGAGTACTATCTTCTAAGGCTATAGCCCTTCTTTCTAAGAAATTTAAAAATTCTTTGAATGTAGGAATCTTATCAATGTCCACTCTATCGAGGTGGTAAGCCCTATTGGTGTAAGAATCAAGTTTTTTCGATATAATGGATATCAATAGCATATCCCAGCTGTCTATAGATTGACCCAAATTTTTGAGAGCGTATAACTGCTGTTGAACATCAGAAATTAGCGACCTTATGGAAGCCGCAGTGCCTCTCTGCATTGATGGCAGATCTAATAAAATGTTAATGTGATTAGATATTAGTCGTGCCTTATTATCAAACCGCTTCCTGAGTAACACAATAGCCTCGGAATAGGATTCATTTACTATAGGTAAATTAACAATAACTGCCAAAGCATCATCAGTTAAATATTTTCGTAAATAGAATAGTTTTTGTACATTGGACAAAGACTTATTATTATTAATTACAGCATCAAACAGGTCCATAAAGGGTTTAAACTTGGTGAAGTCCTTCCCATCGAAGGAAGGGATGTCGATGTTGGGCAACTTGGAGGTGGAAACATTTGTACCTGAAGAGACTTCATCCATCTTCAAGTTCTTTAAGCACTGGCTCAACTTTGAAAGCACATTGTAATACTGGTTCTCCACGGCGGCAACATTTTCAGAGTCTGCTGGGTCGAGCGATAAAATATCCAAGTTTACCTCCTCGTAGTCTTTGAGTGTAGTCACTAGCTTGTTTTTACGTGCTTGAAGCATGTCCTCACCCGCCGCAGCCAATAGAATTGGATCATTGACGAAGTTCTCGATACGTGTGATTGTTCCTTTGAGGTTACCTCGTTTGTTCCGCAAGCGTCTCAAATCGTCGTCCGGCATTGTAAACCCAAATCTGCACCACTCTTTCCGACTTATTGATTCGGATGTTCCAAGGGGGGCTCACGAAAATGGCCCACGCACCGACGCTCACACGGCTGAAAACGTGCACCACAGCACTCAGCCTGTCTGACACTTTTTCGATGTGTAACACTTTTGACGATAGCTCAATTGCTCGAAGGACCACTCAGTCTGTTCAATAAATGAAACAGACTGGAATTTAATTAAACTTATAGAGTTTATTTTGTAAAATTGGTTTTACAAGAATGTGCATAGGCACAGAGAAAAATGGCAGAAGAGAGCGTTGCCAGCATAAAAAATACATTTTCTATTTCTTATAGTGTTACCATGCTTAGAACTAAAAATAACTACTTAAAATATTTTATGTTCAATGATTATTCGAACAGCGAGCGTTAAATAAAAGGTGGCAAAGGTTATGGCCCGTGAACAGGTTATAAAAATGGTGATTTTATTGGGGTCGCACGCGTAGAGGAGCTGCGCGAAGCGCTGCACAGGTGGAGCTCGGCCGATAAATAATAACCGCACGCCTTCACGCACGGATTACATCCGCCGGATTTCTGCTATCCTAGTACCCTACGTGAGGAATCCTTTTACGATTTTCCTACCCCATTTACGGCCACGGATTTTTCCAGTTTCCACAAACAAGCTACACTCGAGCTGCACAAAAGAAAGGAAAAGCCGCCACGTTGCACTTCTCAAGAAGCGGAAAGTAAGAACTAAGCGCCGATTCACGCGTCCTAATTGAAACAAACTCAGCTCAAAGTTGGTTCGTTCACAAAGAGGGAAACGGCGAGTCGGCAAAAACGGTCTCCACCTTCCTTCATTTCGTTACACCGAACGATGATTTACTTGAACGAATTTTTCGCGGCGCCCGTCCCACCTCGTCTAATAGTTGCTGAATCGAATATTACACTCGAATGCCAGCGCGGATCGCTCATTTCGCTATCCCTTATCCGAGCAATATCGTCAGAATTAGGCCGATAAAAAATAAAAGAAAATTACCGTTCATCTTCGAAATGAACGCCGGGAAATGTAAGTTATCTCCATAAATAGTGTCAGAGGATGATTTATATGGGTTGTCGGGGTTCGAGAGGCCGCAGAGTGACAAATGAGGTCCGCGGAGCGTCAGCGTTAATCACAATTTTAAAGGCAGGCATAGGAGTGGGGGCCTCAAGACGGAATCTTCGACTGCGCAATCTTTGGCAAACAACTTCATACCTCATTAAATTAAGGAATGGAGGGGTAGGCCTATATTGAATTTTCAAGTTTTCCCATAGCAAGCTGAAATTGCGTCGGAACTGGGAACAGATGTTGCCGAGAACGCAAGAAGCGAGTCTCACGTACCGAGGTTACTAGGGCGGTAGAAGGCGCGAGCAGTCGTCTGTCAAAATTACTTCGTATGCGGGCGCTGGGATCGCGAATGAAAACACCCGGTATGAATACTTTAATAAAGGGCGTCAGACACGAGCGCTATGTACTGAACTTCGCGAGCGTTAGATGTAACATTAGAAAGTGCTTAAGTAACTAAGTGGCGATAAAAGAGAAGTTTCGCATGACGTATACGTAACTTATTTTAGCTGAAGTTTCTTTCTCATTTCGCTATCATTTTGGAATAAAGGTTCAACATGCAGAAAACTTGGACAGATTTAAAAGCTTAGTTAAACACTGTGTCTGTTGTAACCTTCATATATTTTGGGGCTGCAATTAACAAGGGAAGTTCCCCACAGAGTATAATGCTCGTTCGTGCCGTAAAAACTGCGATAGCGCCCCCTGTCGGTAATTGTTTTCCAATCCCGTGCCTTCATAAATCAAATCCGTTCAGCCGACGCCGTGGAGTGAGGTGTCTGCTGATAGTAGATGAGCCAGTCAGACGGAAAATGGCAAGTGACGGGTCCACACAGGGCGTGATAAACTCGAGCAACGTATTATTGTAATAAGAAAAAGAAAATAACATAACCCTCCTTCTGGCGCAGTCGGATAAAAATGGCATGTGCAGGTTTGCGCCAAAAATTACGAGCCCTTAAAAATGGTGTCATTGTTGATGCTTTCAAGTCAGTCACATGTGAAATGGAACTCAATGTACCTACAGTTACGGTAGGTGTTTTCTTATTCACAGATTACGCAATTTATCTTTTCAACTCATATTCGGAAAAGATTGCGTCATGCCTATAGAGTCAATTAAATAAGGTCTGATTAATCAACACTCGATAATTTTTATCCTTCATACGAGTAGGTTCTTTTACTTCTCATTTAAAAGTCACGAGTTAAAAATTCAACAGAAACTGTTCTTCAATATAAACCTTGAATGAACGGATTGATCAAAAGAATAACCACACATATTCAAAAAACCTCAATCCAAAGGCGTAATGCTTAAAGCTCACTCCAATCGCCCATTACCCGGGCAAAGTCGATATCTACCCGCGTTATTCCACCGAGATATACCTCCGTCTCTTTAAACCTATCTTATTCAAGATCCGAGACACTCTACATAACCGTAAATTCAAACTAATAACATTATCTTGTAATTTATTCAGAAGCTATTGCCATTTAGGTTCACAATAGGTCTTATAAGTTTACAGAATTCGATTCCGTTTGGACTCGATTATTGGAATCGATTGGAACGAGAAAATTACGTATTCGCAATCCGTATTTCGACCAGACTTGGGCCCTTTCCCGACGGCAATCCAGTTTTGCGGCATCCACTAAGCGCTCCTGCACACGACGCCGCCACCGCGCCGCCGCCGCGCCGTCGCCGCGCCCCTACACTATTCATACGAGTAAAGCCCGCCCCGCGCCGCCACCGCGCCATCAAAGCATAATTTCGCCAGCGGCGCGGCAGCGGGCTTCACGCGGCGCGTATAAACAGTGCAAAGGCGCGGCGACGGCGCGGTGGCGGCGTCGTGTACAAGAGCCCGCAAAACTGGACTATGCTATTCGAATCCCAAATTCGAATGGGTCGGTATTTTGCGGGACGCTAAAAACGGGATGTTCGTGTGATTGTTAGTAGGGATGTTATGGATATGTAGTTTCGGTTATGGATACGGTTAAGGATATATATGTATAGGAATAATATTATACCGGTTCGGTTACGGACTTTTTTTAATTTCAGATATCCGAAAGTTTCGGTTACGGTTACGGACGGATATCTGTGCTTTAGAATGCAATTTGCAATAGTTGTCCAACACAGTTCATTCATGGGAGCACAGTGCACACTTTACATCGAATAAAAAAGCAATAAAAAAAATAAAAATTGATATGGCATTATAAAAAGGCAAATCAGGCTGTCATGCCTTTACATATAATGCTATTAAAAAAAAAAATTAAACTGCCTACATCCGAATCTTTTGAATCGGTTACGGTTTCAGATATTTTTTATTTCGGATATCCGAAAGTTTCGGTTACGGTTACGGATATCCATAACATCCCTGATTGTTAGTATTAAAACACGTATTTCTACTAAACGGGATCCAGCAAAAAACGGCATGTCTCCGTGGAGAGCCCTTACCAGGAGTTCATAGCATTTACAGAGGTTTGCGGTTAGTATAGCGTCTCGGCTGTTGATCTAGCTTGCGGTTGGGACGTACATATTACACAAGTTTACAGTAATTAATAGGATTATTAGTCTGGCTTTAGTAAGCAAATGTTAGACTTGGAATATAGTATGTTATTTCAGTCGTAAGTCAAGGCCTTTAGTATAATGTGGATAAATGTCACCTCATTATTAATACCTACTACATATTCTCAAAAATCTACGACTTTCATCCGTTTGTATTGAAAGGTCATTATACATATATAGGTCTTATAATAATAACGTTGTTATGGCCTACTTTGAAATTTTTCAACCCACACACTTTATTTTTCTTTCGCAGAATTACATTCCAACCGATTCAGGTCCCAACTTCATTTCTTACTTTGAGAAAAACAGCGGCAGCCGTATTTGCCGTACCAATAACGTTCCATTTGCAGTCAGGACTCGCATTGGTTTGCATGCTAATCAAATTCTTGTTTTTGTTCGGGCCAACTTTCGCGTAATTTGGCCTGGTCCTAAGCAAACTCGACCGCGGGTAAATATATTTCCTGCTGCCTCCTGGGAGCCTGGTTCCGAGCCGGAGTGATACGGGATGCCAGGTAATAAATAAAGATCATGTTGAATGCGAGTGAATATTTTATTTTATTAGGCTTGTACTCAGTAAACAGAAACAGTATATTGTAAATAGAGCTCAGGTTATTGTAATAAACGAATTGTACGTAAATATTTTTACAGCTAACAAAACAAAAGGGCAATCAATTTACTGCTAAATAATAAATCCAAAATTATAGCATCAAATAAACGAATATAGGGTGTCGTTTCAGTACTTACATTGCTTAGTTTGAATACTTTTATACGTAATCTAAATAGAATAACAAATTCAGAATGAACTTAAGTAAAATAGTACCGATTTAACCAACAAAAGAAATGGCTACACGTCACGTACGGGGTCCATTGTGACCAGGTACGCAGAAACTGAAAGGAGCTCGACAAAGGGCAGCTAGTCATACGCGGACAAAGCTCGAACCTATTCAAATGAAATGAGTCGCGGTCCCGGCGCTACTCAACACGAATCTGCGGATGCAATCTACGTTGTTTGTGAGGATTACAATTAAGTTCTTATGTCCTGGTAGCTGAATGACGCAAATGATGTTTTATCGTCTCAGACATAAATGCTTTTGTGATGGTCAATGGATTACGTCATTTTTTTCTTGGCAAGTATACGTAATTAATGTCAATACTGTACAATAAAACCGCATGCATTAAAAATGCACTAAGAAGATGTACAAAAAAAACAGACGAGAAGAACCTCGTCCTTTTCTGAAGCCTGTTAAAAACAGAGGTTAACTAAGGTAAAAGTTTAAATATAAACAAATAACTTTATCGCGACAGAAAAGAGTAACGAAGCGCTTTGTGAGGGAAGATGGAATGTTGACGATGCGATGTAGGGACGTCCCTGAGGCATCTGCTTGAGGTAACCAAGGGCCATGAATTTTCATCGGCATTTATTAAATACTAGCGGCCGCCCGCGACTTCGTACGCGTGGATCTCGTTTTACCCCCCCTTCATCTATCTTACGCGGTTCAGATTTTTTCATACAAATGTTTTTTCCCGCTAACTCCCGTTCCCGTGGGAATTTTGCAATATCCTGTTGTAACTAAGCTTTAAGTTTACTAAGGTACCTGCATGCCAAATTTCAAGCGTCTATCTTACGCGGTTTAGATTTTTCATACATATGTTTTTTCCCGCTAACTCCCGTTCCCGTGGGAATTTTGCAATATCCTGTTGTAACTAAGCTTTAAGTTTACTAAGGTACCTGCATGCCAAAATTCAAGCGTCTAACTTAAGCGGTTTAGATTTTTCATACAAATGTTTTTTCCCGCTAACTCCCGTTCCCGTGGGAATTTTGCAATATCCTGTTGTAACTAAGCTTTAAGTTTACTAAAAAAAAAGACGCCACCTTCCATACAAAATCTGGCATTGCCATTTCAAGCGTCTAACTTAAGCGGTTTAGATTTTTCATACAAAAGGATTTTCCCGCTGATTCCCGTTCCCGTGGGAATTCCTAAGTATCCTATAACCTGCCCAGGAGTATGAAGAATAATTGTACCAAGTTTCGTTAAAATCCGTCGAGTAGTTTTTGTTTCTATAAGGAACATACAGACAGACAGACAGACAGACAAAAATTTTACTGATTGCATTTTTGGCATCAGTATCGATCACTAATCACCCCCTGATAGTTATTTTGAAAATATATTTCATGTACAGAATTGACCTCTCTACAGATTTATTATAAGTATAGATTATCACACAAAAAATGTACAGCTAACCCATGCTTGGAAAATCACATCGGATAAAAGTTAGGCTGCGTTGTACCATCTAACATTACCAGTAACTTTAACGATAACCGGTGTGTTTTGTATGGAGTTTGACAGATTATTGGCGTTTGTTAAAGTTAAAGTAAGATGGTGCAACCCAGCCTTACAAAATACCACGGAAACTTTTCATCGAGATTAATTAACTTGATTGACACTTGGATGATATAATCTTTATTATTGGTTTTGTAAATAAGTGACTTGTGGTATAAAAATGCATAATCAAGCAGGTACATATATTTTAAAAGGATGTTGTTAATGAACAATGATGAATTGCTAATTCGTGTAAATAATTTATTTAGATACATACAAATACGTGACAAATTAATACGACCCGACATGACAATTTGAACTCGAGACGAAAAACTGTTTACCATCAACTATTAATATGTCATAATTATATTATACTAGCTTTCCGCCCGCGGCTTCGCCCGCGTGGAATTTTGTCTGTCACAGAAAAACTTTATCGCGCGCGTCCCTGTTTCAAAAACCGGGATAAAAACTATCCTATGTTCTTTCCCGGGACTCAAACTATCTCTATGCCAAATTTCATCAAAATCGGTTGCGAGGTTTAAGCGGGAAAGCGTAACAGACAGACAGACAGACAGACAGACAGACAGACAGACAGACAGACAGACTTACTTTCGCATTTATAATATTAGTTGGGATTATTTGCGTCAGTAACTTTACGTACATTTATGTAAATTAAAAAACAAAAAATCCAACTGCGTAAAAACAAGACAACTTACTTAGTGTCAAGTTGTCTTGTTTTTATCTTTTTAGTTAATTTTGACTCAGTTGGGTTTTTTGTTTTTTCAATAATTATTTTATTTTAATCTTTTTAGTTAAATACCATACATTTTTGTAAGCTACTTAAAAAGCCCTTTATTTTGATACGTTTTGAGAAATTTTTATTTTTTATTTTAAGACATTATGGCGTCTAAAATCCACCATTTTGATTTTTTTCCAATTTTAATATAGCCAGTGTCACTCTCACGATTAAGACGAATCTACGCTTTAGGCTGCAGGCCGTGCCAAAGAAATATACATACCTACATACACTCGAAAAACATAACACTCCTTCTGGCGCAGTCGGGTAAAAAAACCGACCGAGAGCGCACGCGGGTTCCGTATAAACCTGTAGGTATATGATTTTGTTACAGCTAAAAGGTATTATAGACCTGAGTATTTGATATGAATTTCAATTTAATACCTCTACGCGTTCATGAATTTTGCAGTTTGCGGCATAAACGGCTGCATCTTTTGATTGCGTTGACTTAGAAGATTGATTTTTTCACAGCCCTAAGGGGCAGTAGACCTGAGTATTTGGTATACATTTTAGATTGATACCTGCAGCATTCCTGAGAAAAGGGATTTTGACATACGGAAGGACAACTAAGTGATCATATAAGGGTTCCGTTTTTTTCCTTTTGAGGTATGGAACCCCAAAAAAATCATTTAATTTAAAAAATTCAAAGTCGTACTACTCGTTTTACAATTATTAAATAAAATGTCACTGTTAGAGGCGTTATTGTCGACTATCCAGTATATTTATTTATTTTTACATATTATTTATTTATTTGAAGCTAAATTGCAGCATAGCTAAATTGATTTTAACAGACAAATAGACAGTTTTGACAAACTCACTCTAACTTTTCTAAACCACTTGACAAAATAACTTATAAATTATCACAGCTTTCTATGCAACTGTTCAATTTCACTTGGTTCCAACTTCACTAATTGCACGGATTCTTCCCACAACTTCTTGGCAGTGTCCTCGTCATAGCACACCGCTTTGGGTGCGCACAGTTCACAGTTTCTAAAGTATCCACCGCTGCTGTCACCCAATTTGTCATCCAGCGCCACGTGCAGTGCCGTTTGACAGCCTTGCCAAGGAGTTTTGGTTGCCAACGACAAAAATTGTTCTATAAATAATCCAATAAATGTCCCGAAATTCATCATGAAAATCTTGGTACCAACAACACCAGGATCTATAGCGTTTACCACAACATTATAGCCCCCGATTCTCCTCGCCAACTCCTTCGAAAACAACACAAAACACAGCTTACTGTTAGCGTAGTACTGGACCTTGTACCAGTAGCCAACTCTGTTCATATTTTTCGGCTCATACTTCCCAATGAAGTGTAACAGCGAGGTGGTATTCAAAATTCTCGCTTTGTCCCTTGATGTGCCGGTCTTTTGCAAAAGCGGGAACAGGAGGAGCGTCAGCAAGAAGTGTCCGTAGTAGTTGATCTGCATCACGAAGTTCAACCCATCTCGAGTGAGTGCGTCCTTGGATCCCGCGCCCGCGTTGTTCACCAACAAGTCCAGTCTGTCTTCTGTCTTTAAAATATCACTAGCAAAGTTCCTTGTAGACTTCAGGCATGCCAGATTCAAATGTTTGAAAACCACATCATGGTTTCCAGTTTCGTTCGTGATTAGTTTCTGAGCGTTGATTCCTTCTTCTTCGAACGGGCACGCTATGATGACCCGGGCTCCTCTCCTCGCGAACTCCCTCGCTATTTCCAGGCCCATGCCCCTGGTGCCACCTGTCACAATACACGTTTTTCCGTCGAGGCGTTTCTTCGACTTGCAGTATCCATTTGTGTATTTTTGGTGGATCGCGAATAATATAATGGCTAAGGTAACGAACGCTGTTATTAGTAAGACGGCCATCGTGATTGTGTGCTCGCGGCGGAATAAGTTAAAAACTAACCGGTTGGTTTACGTAAATCGAAAATTTAAATAATCAGTTATTGGAACACTGACCTTCGTTAACTGCATAAAAGTAACACATACATGTAAGGTGCATATTTTTTTATTGTTTAATTATTTTGACATTGGTTTGTCAACAGTTTTTATACCTCTATGCATGCATAATGATTGACTTCTTAAAAAAGGTCTTTAAAGTGACATTGAGTATGAATATAACTTGTATCTACACTTCATAAAACAAAAACAGACTAAACTTTAGGCATCATAACTCATGAGCAGTGAAAATAGTCATCAAGCGCTTCATTGCATCTGCAATTGTCAACAGATCGTAGTATGATAAGAAAGAAAGAAAGAAAGAAAGAAAGAAAGAAAGAAAGAAAGAAAGAAAGAAAGAAAGAAAGAAAGAAAGAAAGAAAGAAAGAAAAACATTTATTTGGTTCAAACTTAAAAAATATAACACACAGAATGAGATAACAAAAAACAAGTATAAGTTAGAACCAAAATTGGCCACCGCTCAGCATGTGTCATGCTCTGGAGTGTAATAAAACCAGAACACGACGCTGTTATTCTGCGGTGGCCATTTTTGGAGAGAGCTGGAAACAAACATGAGATGAGACAATACACAAAAAACAAACAAAAGAGAAAAAACAAAATAAAAAAAAAATACAATATTAAAAGAAAAAAGTAAATAGAGGGCGCCACTATCACATACGGGTTTTAGCAAATTTGGCGAAAATGCACAAGTTCACCGCCATCAACAAAGAAGAAGTTGTTTTGACATTTGCAAGAGGGCGCCACCATCAATTCAAATACTAAAACCACAGAATAATAACAAGTAGGTACTACGCTAAAACTTAAATTACATTATTTAAAAAACTAATAAAATAAGTTATAAAGGAACGAAGAAGAAGAGATGACCAATGTGTATCACTTTTGAAGTTTACAAAAATTCTTCAGCAATATACCTACGCTTGAATATCTCGGTAAAGTTTTCAGTCCTGACTTTTCCTACAGAATACGTTAGAATTTGTTGGAAAAATTTCCGCCCTTTGACAACAAAATAAAATATTATTCAGTAGACTCCCAGATCCGTAAACGTTATTAATCATAGCCTTGACCTACTTTGATTCTAGGTGGACAATAATTCTACTATCGGTAGTACAAACTAGATTTCTCTTTACTAATCCTATATTTATTAAGGAATGCACACGTCATCTGATAAAAATATCCTTAAACTCTTGAGTGAACTGTTCCAATATATCGGACCTCTATAGTAATGAATATTTAATATGAGTAGGTAGGTGACATTGCTCCGACCTTATTGTGTTTATAAATAGACAAGCGGCCGCCCGCGACTTCGTACGCGTGGATCCCGTTTTACCCCGATAGGGGTGGAGTTTCGTAAAATCCTTTCTTAGCGGATGCCTACGTCATAACATCTACCTGCATGCCAAATTTCAGCCCGATCCGTCCATTGGTTTGGGCTGTGCGTTGATAGATCACTATGTCAGTCAGTCAGTCAGTCACCTTTGAGTTATATTATTATTTAGATGACCACTCGTCCAACCAGCGGCAATTAAAAATAAAGAAACGTTATTTTAAATTTTGCGTCACAAGTTACGTCAGCAAATACGTCGAAAAATTTAAATAAAATTCTGACCGTTTCACAGTAGATCGAGTTATTTTTCGTAAAGGTCAGTAGGAATTATACCATAGAATATCGATCTGTCAAATCGCGTGCGTCGTCCTTTCAAAATCATGGATAAAATCTATCCTATGATTTTCTCCTTGCCAAAAACTTAAACCTTCCTCACAAATAACTTATCAATTGATAAAACAAAATTAAGTAAATCCATTTTGGCTGATCATGCATTACATGTTTACATATCATCACCAGAATATAAGAGAAGTTAAAAAGAAACATTTCACAAAATACATTAACATCAAAATACTTAAGTACTTAATCTAAAGCTGTCAGAAAATTCAGGTTACAGTTTTACCGGTTAGGAAAATAGATAAACAAACCTGACGAGTAAGACTGTTAGTTGATGGATTTTTTTTTTGGAAAAAGCGCACCATACTACAACGTCACTAGTTAGTTTTTGCTCATAATAAGATTGTCCGTGGTGCATATCTTTTCATAAAGGTTACAAGCCTTTGTTTGTCACCTGTTTTCCGCTTTGCAATGGAGGGAAGTGGATCCTAACTTCGAACTCCTCCTATGTTCTTCTGATTTATTTCGTTGCGGTTGTCAATGACAGTTTAACTTTCCCCCGGGACAAACTTGACCTTCACTGGTTGGGTTTTTATTGGCGGTCAAGCTGTAGATCCTGGCTACACAAGAGTTGCAGCCGTGGGAACAAGAGGTGGGAATAGTCCCGAAGTTAGTATTTTTACTAGCGATATACAGGGTGGAAACGATAAGTGATCTCACTCGATTATTTCTAAACTATACAAGATATCGAAAAACTGGTTACTGATCCTGAAAGTGCTTCACGAGCTCTATTCAACGGTACCAATAATAAATAGGTTACAGAATAAACTGGAACTATCCGAAAATTCTATGTTTCCAGCTTCCATACTAAATGTATGCCAACCACACAATATTAGAAGTGTAATTTATTTTTTGTTAAATAATAAACTTAAAAAGTTTGTTAAATAAACTCGTAATTTGTATCTTATTTAAAATTATTTCTGGAAAACATTAGTTTAGGCTTTGCTTGCTATAATATTATCAAGAGATGAGTGCCATGACTGTGATAGTACTAAATGTATGGAAGATGGAAACATTGAATTTTTGGATAGATCCAATTTATTCTGTATGCTATTGTTGATACCGTTGGATAGAGCTCGTGAAGCACTTTTAAGAACAGTAACTAGTTTTGATATATCTTGTGTAGTTTTTAGTATTATGTAACTTTAGCAAATGTATGAAAGCTGGAAACATTGAATTTTCGGATAGTTCCAGTTTATTCTGTAACCTATTATTGGTACCATTTGAAAGAGCTCGTGAAGCACTTTCAGGATCAGTAACCAGTTTTTTGATATCTTGTATAGTTTAGAAATAATCGAGTGTGATCACTTATCGTTTCCACCCTGTATATCACGTTTCTACTGAACCAGTCTTCACTATGGCGAACTTTGATCAGCGTCAATGCGCGAGGTGGAAGACGACAGCGGAATAACAATTATTTCATTACGCACCCTGCAGGGAGCGAAGTGATAACAGACTCGAGCTGTTATCAGCCCTACAGTATTGATTCATCTTTAAGGCAGATGGGATAATAGAGACGAATAGAGTCAGACAAATGGCCTAGATGTTGATAAATTAATCTGAAATGCCTAAATAATTAGCTCATCACAAATTAACATTTAAAATCTTTAAGTGGGAGCCTAAACGAGCAATTAAGTAACGCGAAACACTTGTGCCCAAAATAGGTCCTACCTACTTAATTAAATGTCTTGCTCAGAATANAAAGGTAGACGTTACAGTGATAGGTAAATTTATTTACAAAATTCTGACTTAATGTAATTTTTTTAGAAAATATGCTTCTAAAACTGTTTTTTTTTATAAAATCACAATATCGAATATTTCTTCGAAACTAAGCAAATACAACTACTAGTTCCTTCATCAATTTTATACATAATAGTAATATCTAACGATTGAATTAATAAAACAGGGATGTCCGCTTCTAAGGCAAAATAAAAGACTGTGCTATGGTCAGTCATCATGAGTTCATGACTTCAAAATTTCGTCTTTCCTGAGAAAATGAAATTTCTTCAAGTATATTTGAAGACAAATTATTTACAACAAAATGTATAGATTATAAATAAAACATCAATATAAACATACAAATTATAACGAGGCAAACCATATCCTTGGTAAGAACTAAGTTGCCCTTGCTTGACGCACATAGTGACACCCGTGTCCCAATACAGATTTTTACATAATATTCATTATGCGTACGAAGAAAAAAGAAAATATGAAATAAAACGATAATAATACTTATCAGTGAATGTAAATCAGAAGAAAAATAATGGCCATAAAGCCGCTAAGTACCTAATATCAAAATATTTTTTAATTTTGACGTCTAACGAATTTTTTTTTCACATTTTGAGCCAGTAATTTTTTACACAAGGAATCGCGTTTTTTATTATTTATAGCGCATTATCATAAAAGATAATAATAAAATTTAAGAATATTAAACTGCAAAAGGTTTAACTTAACTAGTATTACTGTAAATCGTAAAAACTATGCGGGGACAAATGTGTCCCATATGCGTGAAAGGGATAAGATAAATAAATGATGTGAAGTCAACTGTTTGTTTTTACTCTGATTTTAATAAATAGAAGAAATATATTCTAAAACAACGATGTCAAGTAGTTATTTATTTTATTCTTATTTATTTATTAATGTATCTGAATTTCTAATTTATTTAATTAATTTGGGTGTTTTCGATGTATAATATGTATGTATTTACAAAAAATATGTATACAGGGTGTTAGGTAAATGGGTATATGACCCGACACTAGCCCATGTTAACATGGGCATATAAATGTTATGGTGAAGTCAGAAAATTGATATCTTCATTTTAATAATTTAAATTTTCATACAAATCGGATTTTATAAAATGTATTTTGTATGAAAATTTAAAAAAATAAAATGAACAGAACAGAAACAAAAAGTGTAAATACTAGTACTTTATTTCATAGTATGACAACATTCCTGAAATACGCGGGGATACGGAGATAGAGGTCATTGAATATGCAAAGTTTCCATAGTATTTCACATCACACTAGGATAATAAAAATAGTATTAGGTCAATTAGTTGCTTGTATCGATCATATTGATAGTATTGTATCATATCTTACTATCGATTAAGTATGTAAGTATACCGAATAAATCACAATCGATTATTAGATTGCAATAATCGACTATAATGCTTAAAATAAGGAATCAAACTAACAATCAAATGATAGTGATGATGGTAATCAATAAAATCG